ATTGCTACCGTCTAACGATAAAATGTTACAACAGATTAAAATAATATTTATTTTTAATAGCATTATATTATTCTCTTGAATTATAAATACTCATTAGATTCCTCAAAAATAAATACAAATAAACTATAATTACATTGCTTGACAACAAAAATACATTTAACTACTGTTATAATATTATCAACAAATACTATCAAACACTTCTAACTTGAATATGTTGTTTCACATGCACAATATTCTTGAAATTAAACCTCTAGAATACAATGAAGAAATAATTGATTTGACTTCCTCTAATAATAACAATTCGCAACAATCAAACCAAAACGATATTCAATTCGATGACCTACCTTATCCAGAAATGTCTTCGTGGATTATTTCAAAAAAAATGTGAGAATTGATAAATAAATTTGAAAATACCATTCTATGCCAATTTCTATGTATTTACTGTTCTATTTGCTCCAAACTCATGTATCTAGAAAAATCGATGTGGATTTACCAGAATCCTAACATTTCTTACCTACTTGAAAATTATATACTGTTGGTTACAAATTCTGTACTACCTACTAACCGTATTGCTATATGTCCCTTATGCAAATCAAACCTGATACACAACTACCTGCTATACTTATGTTCAACTCTAACTGAAATAGAACTAGTACTATTAAAATCACGCAAACACTTATCTCTTATCTTTCTTCACTGTTCTCTAGGCCAAATACCAGGAGCCAACCCCTTTTCTGAATACAGAACACTAGTAGGTTCTATGAATTACTCACAAAATTATAATTCTGTAAATTTATACTCAGGTTTATTGGACACTTACCTTGCATCATCATCTACTACTCAAACTAAAATTTCTTCTTGGTTTGACAACTCTTTAATCAATGCCACCAATTAGCTTAAAAAATATAATCCCTACATACGTTAATACTCACTAATGATCCCACCACTATCGAATTCAAATCTCCAATTTCCTGTAGCTATCTATTTATCTACTGACGAGAACACCCTTCTATTTTAACATAGTGATATAGTAGTCCCCACCAAAACTTTCTTGCTGAGATCTACAATGAAGATGCAAATTATCATTGCTTAATAGCTGGTTTTATAAATAATAATAACATAAACAGAATTCTGATTGCCTTAAATGATCTACATCTTGAACCATTGCTCTTTTTAGATTTATATTCCAATGGTTGCAGCTATTACTATGATATGCGTAATCAATTAGAAAATTTGCAACAATGTCATGACACTTTCGGAAAATATATAAAACATCGCTTACTTTTCAGAGATCCTTGATTCTGCCTACATTACTACTGGCCTGCATAAATATACCTACAATTAGAAAAACTTAGAAATTTCCAAAATACTCAACGACTCATAAGACAGTCAGTCATTGATGAAATACATCGTCCACTCATAGCTATTGAAATCATTGAACACAGTACCTATACCGGTAGCTGGCGCTACAATGAAACAAAAACATCTCCTATTCCTATGTTCATTCATACAGAAGATAGTTATTTTCAAAAAAAAAATATGCACCTAAATACAATGATCTATGAACTTGGCCTTCTAACATTATTTATTACATTATCGATAGCAGAAGATTCATGGACTCACCTCTGCAACATACTCACCAACACAGATAACAGAGATCTGTTACTAACAAACAGACCATTACATACAACATTACACTTTGTCCA